CAAACCCTTCTTTTTGAGTAAACCCTTTTGCTACAAGTCTGGCCTCGTACCTTTCAATGGACCCGTCCTCCCTATGCTTTACAGTGAACACCCACTTGCATCCVACARTGCTYTTCCCTTCYGGTWGRTCCACTAATTCCCAAGTCCTTGCTTTCATTAAGGCTTTCATTTCTTCGTCTATAGCCTCTTTCCATCTTGGGTTGCATACTGCCTCTGAATACCTAGTAGGAACATGCACAGAAGAGAAAGCAGACACAAAAGAACAATAACGGGGAGACAAATGGGGTGTCGGATAGTACAAGAACGGGTAGGCTTACGAAGGGCAATAGGAAGATCCAAGTCAGAGGGATGCGTGATAGGATTACCTGGGGTTGCTGAGACATGGTTGATCCGAGTCCAATTGGTTGCTGTCATGAGTTGGACTCTTTTTCCTTCTGTTGTAGGTGATTCTTATATCCTTCTGCTGCTTTCTGGAGTCTTCAGTAACATCTGCAACATCACTAGTAGTAGCTAGTGAAATTGGAGCCTCACTAGATCCACCCGAGATACCACAACTAGGAGGATCAGGAGGAGAAGATGGAAGGTCCGAGGCAGAAAGAGGCACAAAGAAGGAGGGAACAAAAGAATCCTCTTCCATCCCGCTAGTCTTCCCTTGAAGAGGATTCTGGGAAGAATGAAAATAGGATTGAGACTCAAAGAAAACCACATCCTTTGTGACATATTTTCTCTTGGTGACTAGATAGATCATAACACTTGTAACCCTTCTGTGTAGGAGAGTACCCCAAAAAGATTCCTTCCATAGCCCTAGGATCCAGTTTGGTCTTCTTTGGATCCTTTACATGTATAAAGCATACACAACCAAAGACTCTCGGTGGAAGAGAAAAGTCTGGAAGATGAGGAAAAAGGACAGAGAAAGGAGTTTTCATCCCCAATACCTTGGTTGGCATTCGATTTATCAGATATGATGCAGTAAGGATTGCTTGAGACCAATAGTTTTTGGGAACTTTGTGCTGAAATAGTAAGGCTTGAGCAGTCTCCAATAGGTGTCTATTCTTGCGCTCAGCAACCCCACTCTATTGGAGGGTACTAGCACAAGATGACTGATGGATCATTCCAGCATCCTCCATAAACAAATTCAGGGACTTTTCAAAGTATTCAGCTGCATTATCATACCTGAATTGTTTAATTTTCTTGCCAAATTGTGTTTCAATCATTTTGTAAAACACCATGGTTACCCGTGGCACTTCATCTCGTCCTTTTAACAAGTAGATCCATGTGCATCGAGAGTAGTGATCAATAAAACTGATAAAGTACCGAAAGCCATCAACAGAAATAATGGGTGATGGGCCCCAAACATCAGAGTGGACTAAATCAAAAGAAGCTTGAATTTCATTACTAGAAATTGGATAAACAGTTCTACATTGTTTTGATAACTGACAGATTTCACAAACTAAATTTTGACTTGAAACACCTTTGAATAATTCCGGAAACAACACTTCTAATGATGAAAAAGGTAAATGACCTAGCCTAGCATGCCACAGATGTAGCCTAGCTATTGACTCCACATTGGACTGACTACTAGTAGCAGATGTTTGTAAGGCCGAACTGATGTCTGCATCAAGGTAGTAGAAGCCTCCACACTCATGACCACTCCCAATCGTTCTCTTCGTCAAGCTGTCTTGGAAGACACAATGAGTAGGAAAAAAAGTTATGCTACAATTCAAATTCTTGGTAAGCTTTGAAATAGATAAGAGATTTGAAGAAAGATTGGGAACATGCAGAACAGATTTGAGTGAGAGGCCCTTGCTTAGGTCAACCACCCCTTTTCCAGAGATGGTAGAGAGGGAACCATCAGCAACCCTCATCTTATCTTGGCCAGACAGTAAATGRTAGGAAGAAAATAGAKAAGACATATGTGTCATGTGGTCAGTTGCACCGGAATCAATAATCCAAGAAGCAGGATCAATAGAACTAGTTGCACTAAAAGCAGAGGCAGTACCTGATCTAGCAAGGGAGGTGGAAGCAAGAGAATTGGTCCTTAGACGGGCTAGTGCCCGGCTAAGAACCTCTACCTGATTGGCAGTGAAACCCAAGGACCAGTGTCCGGGGGAAGTAGCAATCTGTCCCATGGAAGAGGATGTAACTGTGGATGAGTGTTTTGAGCCATCACCACTGTGATTGGCAACCAGATTCCCACTTGCAGCTTGACCCTTYTGATGCTTCTTATCTTTCTTCAAAGCAGTTGGTTTCAGATGTGGATAGAGAACCCAACAAGTCTCTTTCACATGCCTTTCTCCTCCACAGTGGGTGCACTTCAGATGTCTCTTGTCCGAGTACTTATTCCCCTTTTGATTTGTAGAAATTAGGGCCGAATGTTCCACAGACTGTTCAGATGGCTTAGTTTGAGTATCAACTTGCATCTCTTTTCTTCTAACCTTTTCATTCCTCACGAGGTAGTAGACATAATGTAAGTCTGGCATTTCATCCCTTCCTAGAATTTGGGACCTTATGCTCTCATATATTGGATCTAGGCCAGCCAAAAATTTAAATGCTCTGCCCTCTTCAATTTGTTTGTCATGCCTTTCCTTGTCTCTGGCATTCTCCCAATCAAGAATGAGGTGATGATCTAGCTCTTCCCATAGTCCTTCTAAGGCAGCAATGTCTTGATTCAATCTATAAATTCTGGCATTATTTTTTCTCTTACCATAAGTTTTGGACACTTTCTCCCATATCTTGGCAGCAGTGGAGAAATGTTGAACAGTCCTAACTACCCTTGGAGTCATTGAAGCAAGTAGCCAGAACATAACTGTAGCATTCTCCTTACGCCAAACTGCATAATCAACACTACCCACTTCAGGCTCCTTCTTCTACCCATCCAAATAACCAGTGAGTTCCTGGGATGTGATGAAGAGCATGGCTGAAACAGACCGTTCTCTGAAGTTATATTCATCCAACAACACATTAGTAATCTGCAGGCTGTGCAGATTTGGATTCTCCAGATTAGGGGACCTCCCACTAGTCCTAACATCTCTAGAAGACACTTCCCCGGATATAGAAGACATCTTCTCCTACTTGCAAAGATCAAAACTGTAAACACAATATACAGAGAACTGTTTCAGACTTACGGAACTTGCTGCACTGCAAACTCTATCCAGAGAACCCATAACAGAGCTGAAACCACGAGCACCACACTGCTGCACTGTGCTCTAATTACTGCTGTCGCAGCCTGTAATCTCTGCCACGACCAGTTCTAGGACTGCCAAGATCAGTCCTCCCACCTAGATCTGTTCCACACAGATCTCTCTTAGCTGAATGGCTACAATCTGATGTACTGAGTCTATTAGGGCATCAGCTTCTGGGACTAACTCCCCTTGGGCCCTACAACCAAGGGAAACCCTAGATGTAGGTCCTGGTGTGTTCTACGACCAACCCTAGGGTTTCTTTGCAGCAACCAAGATAGAAAAGAGGAAGAAAGAGAGTTGGATACAAGTAGAAGATGAAGCGGCGGCTGTAACCAGGTGCAAGATCAGAGCTCTGATACCATGTTTGCTGGAATGAAGCTGCCGAAGGAGAAGAAGAAGAAGAAGAGTTGAGAATGGCAGCAATAATCTCTCAGCCGGCCCTACTCTATTATTAATAAGTGTATTACATAATGTTACACAAATAGACTAGAATGCCCCTGATTAGTGATGGGACACCTAGACAAATAAAAAACACTAAATAAGATTAGGCCCAATAACAGAAGACAAAAGACCCAACAGAGATAAATAAACATATTAAGACAGCCGAACCAACAGCATTGATGATAGAAACTCTACATATGGTTGGTTATCTTTTCTTTTATTTCTTTTGCTTTGAAATGGACCTCAATTGTTATGGGCCCAAAGTCCTTTTATTTACTTGTTTTAGAAGCCACCCTATTAAGGTTTCTTTTTAATTTTACATTTAATTGCAGTTAGGTCTAATAAAACAAGTTTAAGGGGCTAGGAAAAGCCATGTCCTCTTCTCTCAAAATTATTTTTCTCCCACATCTATCTTATTGTGTTCTGAACTTTCTTCTCTCTTTTTCTGCTTATTTTTCTTGATCAAATAAGTTCTTAACATCGTATGGTCTTGACAGGATGAAACAACATTGATCTGGTACTCACATGGAGAGGAAAGAAATTTGAAGTTGTCTTCCGTCTCAAGGATTATCCCTGGGCAGAGAACTGTGAGTCAACAATCCGAATGATGATCTTATGTTTTACATTTTAGCAATTTACTTTAATATATCATGCTGTGAAGAATTTCATTTTAGGTTTTACTAACTAACTTGCAATTAAACATTACATAGCACTTGGTTTTTGGTTCACTACAGGCTGTTTTTAGGAGATATTTGCGTCCTGACAAAGACTATTTGTCATTTTCTCTTCTGTATAATAATGGCGAAAGGACTCTTGATCTGGTTAGTTATGGAATCATTCAGGTTCATTAAAAGTTATATGAAAATAAATTTTGTTGAGTTTTATGAGAAGCTAGTTCTGTGTTGAATCCTATTTCTTGACCATCTCAATCCTATAGATATGCAAGGACAAAGGTGAGGCAGAGGTCTGGTTTACTGGCCTTAAGGCATTGATCTCTAAGGGCCAACATGGCAGGCGTAATAGGAGTGATATTTCTGATGTATGTTATTAGACCTATCTTAATTTATTCATGATTTACAATCCATATTCCTTAAATAGAATACCACTTTGCAGATCATCATTTAGTCATATATTTATTTAACTACTTTTATTTCTGCTTGCAATAAATGTTGTCATTATGCCTGTTTGGAAAATTTAAGAGAAAGAATTTCTCAAATCAATGGAAATCTTAGTCCCTTTTTGGATGGAAAGAATTTCTCAAGTTAAGCTGTAACTTGATCTAGAAGTTTGTAAATTATCTGTTCTTGTCTGTCATTAGCATTTTTTTTATCAATAACTGTAGTGCTTAATTAGAATTTCAAAACATAGTACAACTAGCAAAGAGAAGGGAGAGAGAAGCTCTCCTAGTGAATTGTCAAATCAGTCAATTGAGCCCAAAACAGAAATTCTCTATCTGTCCCTTGTTTTGCTAATATATCAGCAAAGGAATTTTCACTTCTTCCTTTTGTTGCTATAGTTCCAAAGTTCATTCTTCTCTTCCTTCAGCCAACCCAACACCAACTTGGTGTCTCCTTCAGTAATCAACTTTCTAATGCTTATACTCCTCACCCTTTGCACTCCTTCCATTACCGTCAATGTCTCAGCCCTCAAGGAGTCACCTACTCCAATTGGTCCTGAAAAAGATGCGAATATTTTACCCTCTTTATTCCTAAAAGCACCTACAATGCCTGAAGGCCCCAGATTTCCCACACTACTTCAATCAAAGTTCAGCTTGATAAACCCACTGTTTAGAGGGGACCAAATAGGACTCATAACATCCTTAGCAGGGGCTAAACTTGCTACTTCCTTCCAGCTTCTAAAAAGGTCAGACATTGGGATATCATCAAAAAGTTCCAAAGACTTTACACAATGTACCACTCTGATGTAGACCGCCTCTATGATAGCTTCTCTGCTTCCCCCCTTATCTAAAATAAATTCTTGAGTTCCTTTTTACTCAAATAGTCCAGATAATGGCATCCCTTGCACATGTTCATATTATAGAGGCAAACAAACTTTGCACATTTGGTGGGGGTCCACTTGCACCCAAACAAGGTAAAAAAACCATTCCCAAACAAAGTTTGCAAAAGGGAAGGGGATTAATAAGTGATAGCAAGTCTAACCATTGGCTTTGGTAGAGAATACACCAGTGAGGAGGTAGGCATCTATTAGGTCTCTTTTCTTTGAAGCAGATCATATGTATTAATTCTTTCCAAGAAAGCTTCCCAAGAAAAACACCCAACCCTAGGGGGAATAAGCTTAATCCAAACCTCTTTTACAGGAAAAATCTACCCAAGACTATCAAGGGGCTGAGTTAAAGCATTAAAAAAAAGCCACAAGTGAATGATCTAGAAGGGGAAGAGAGTCCAAAGTCGACCATCTGATTTCGAAGGATCCAAGAAAATCCTATCAAGAGTATTAAGTAGTACCAAGACACTACTTAACACAGATTCTCTGATGCCCCTTCTAAGACCCAAGTTCCAATTGTATCTAGCTCTCGAGTTAGAAGGAACAATGAAAGTAGAAATAGGCTCATCCTTGTAATTTGAAAGAGCATACAAAGAGGGGAATTGGTATTTCAAAGGGGAGTTCCCAACCCATATCTGTTCCCAGAATTTAGTGCAGTTACCAGAGCACAAGTCATACTTATATGTTCCCAAAAGCACTTGTAGCCCTAACCAAAATTCAGCAATCCATTATCCACAAGCCCATGAATGCTAGCACCCTTTCTCGTGTCCCCCCATCTCTTCTGCTTGTCCCTCCAACTCCCTGACCTTCTGCTTCCCAACACCTTCCTCCCAACTTTTGTTCACAGGATCAGCCAGCACCCTTTTTCCTTTGCAGAGAGCTTGACTCCTAGATTCGATCAGGCAAGACCATTGAATCCTCCTGAATCCAATGAAACGGGATGCAGCCTTCAACCACCAACCTCAAATCATACCACTCTCCAACAAAGTTTAAAGCCATGCTCAGGGGGATTAGATGTATGTGCTCCACTTCAACCAAGATTCTTGTTGCTACTAGATTTCTTTTTAGTTTATACGTTTGGGCATCCACTCTTCTAAAGAAACCGTAGGCATTTCCAATAGCACGAAACGTATTCAGGTTCCAAGCATGGAGCGGAATCCCAAGGACGTTGGTCCAGGCAAGACTCTTGCTATCGATTTCTCTAAATGCCTCCACTAGTGGATTCCATTTACCCAACTTGAGCTCCGACGACCTAGACTTTGATATTCCTCTATCCAGAATTTCATCTACCTCCTCCTTGCTATGGAAGATTAAAAGAAAGAACCCGCATTTAACTTTCTCACCTGGACATCTTCTTTTGAGTTCAACTCCGTTTTGACCCATCTCAAGACTCCTCCTTCATTAGGTTCAAAGTTCATGAGCCGCCCTACCAGGCACTTCTCTAGCCAACACACCCTCTCTAAAGTCCCTTCACTCGAGTTAACATAGATCTTTCTCATCGTTCTAAACTACATCCTTTACGTTGTATTCCTTCTCTTAGAAAGAATACAGAATGGTGTTAAAGTTTATATCCACTTTTACACAAAAACAATAAATCCATTGTTATTGAATCAATTTTTGGTATGATCTGACATGGATATGAGTTGGAAGAGTGAAGTTTGAGCAAAATATCTATAGATGTCCTTGCCCCATTTCTACTTTCTCTGATAGGTTAACTTTTGTAGTGGAAAAGGGGGGAAAGTCATGAAAATAGAGAAAGAAATCGTGAAGCTCAAGGAGGTTGTGGCGGTTCTATGTTTAACCATGGTGGTGGGTGTAATGGAGGTAGAGATTTAGGAGGAGGTCATGGTAAAGGACATAGTAATGGTCCTAGGAAGTGCACTTACTATGGAATGGAGGGACACACTATTTATTTTTGTTATGATCTACATGGGCCGATCATGCAGTGACAAGTGGTGGTGGTGAAGTAGGTGAAAGGTAGCAAGTTGACAAGACACCCTCTACATCTACAAAGGCCTTTGGGTAAGAGATGATGAGTGTTCCATGTCATGAATATGAGTCGCATACAAACCTTCCAATTAGATTATTGGTTCTGGTGCTTCCGATCATATGACTAGGACTTCGTGTGTGTTTTCTTCTCTTAATCTTCTACGTCCCAAACAATACCCTTGATAATGGTTCTACTTCTTCCATTTGTGGTATTGGTAATGTTGACATTTGATTCATTATCTTTATCCTTAGTGTTGTATGTACCCTACTTTTCGTTTAATCTTATATTAGTAAATTAACCAAGTCTCTTAATTGCTCAATCAATTTTTACCCATCTTGTGTTTTCCAGAATCTCAAGATGGGGATGAAGACTAGTGGAGGGCATGAAGTTGGTGGATTGTATTATTTCAATGGTGGTGGTTCAACAATATCATTTCAATCCTCTCTTACTCCTCTTCAGTGGCATTGTAGGGTTGGTCATCCATCTCTTGAGGGATTTTAGTTACTTGTTTCGTCATTGAGTCATCTTTCCTCTTTGGAATTTGAGTCATGCCAGTATAGGAAACATCATGGGTTTCCTTCAGTCCTAAAGTCGATAGTCATATGTCAAATCTTTTTACTTTGGTTCTTTCAAATTTTTGGGGTCCAAAAGTTGTAGCATATTATGGTTACAAAGTATTTTATAATTTTTGTTGATGATTATTCAAAGACAACATGGCTTTATCTTATGAAAGAGGTAAATTATTTTCCATTTTCCAAAAATTCCATCCTAAAATTTGCACCCAATTTGGTGTTAGAGGAAAAACAGTCCTCTGAAATTAACGAACAAATTAAAAACACTCTAAATGATGATTAAGAACAGCAGAAACAAGAAACAAGAAGAGAGAAGAAGAAGAGGAAGGTGGCGGATGATAGGGTTCTTATAGAGATTTTCGAATGTAATCTCCTCTTACACCCTAATTCCCTTTCATTAATCTTAATTTTCAGTAATTACAGAGAGGCCCCTTAACTGGGCGAATAAGCTTAAGTAAACATAACATAATTAAGGCCCAATTTGAGGCCCATTATCAGCATAGAACATAAATAAAAGAATATTAAACAATCAATGGGCCATTCGTCCCATTCTCTCTACACTCCCCCTCAAGCTGAGCATAGATGTCAATCATGCCAAGATTGCCAGTGTCATGCTGAAGTTTGGCCTTGGAGATTCCCTTGCTAAGGATGTCAGCTAACTGTTCTTCAGAAGAAATAAACAGCAGACAAACTTCTCTAGAAGCCACTCTTTCATGGATGAAATGTCTGTCAACTTCAATATCTCCTGTCATGTTGCACCGAATTGTGAGCAATGTTGATGGTAGCCTAATTATCACAATATAACATTAATGGCTTATCATACTCATCACCCAGTTCCTCCATCATGGATCGAAGCCAAAGAAACTCAGAAACTCCATGAGCCATGGCTTTGTACTCGGCTTCAGCTGAAGATCTGGCAACAACTGATTGTTGAAAGAATGGTAGGATCCATCTAATGGACGCCATTAAGGTTGCGGAATGGGTGGGCGAATTTTAAAAATTTTCCTACCTTCTCCCAACTGGGAATCACATTCCCTAAATTTAGAATATACAATATTCAAGGATCTTACTTGAACCATAATCGAACCAGATCTGAACCAAAAAGAAAAAGGGAGGAATATACCTGATCCAGAGAAGCAGTATCTCCCAAAGTTGGTGTTCACGCCCAAAGAATACACCAAGATCCGCTCCTGCTG